TTGATTTTTAATTTAGGACATCACTGATTTTGTTTTTAGTGAGTATGTTTCCATGTATATAAAGTCTTTAGGAGCCAGGCGTTGGTGGCGCACACCTTTAATCCCAGCACTCGGGAGACAGAGGCAGGCAGATCTCTGAGTTCAAGGCCAGCCTGATTTACAGAGTTAGTTCCAGGACAGGCTCCAAAGCAATACAGAGAAACCCATAAAGTCTTTAGGGATGCCTTTTATTCCCACTATGTAGCTCTGGCTGTTATGGAACTCACTGTGTAGACCATGCTGCCTCAAACTCACATAGATCCACCTTCTTCTGCCTCCCAAGTGCTAGGATTAAAGGCATGTACCCATTTCTTGTCTAATTGCTTTGGCTAGGACCTCTGTGTCTTAGGATTTCTATTTCTGTGAAAAGACCAAGACCATAGCAGTCTTGTACAGGAAAACATTTAATTGGGGTGTCTCAGAGTTAAGGGATTTAGTCCACTATCATCATGGTGAGACATGGCAGTGTGCAGGCAGACATGATGCTAGAGAAGGAGCCGAGAGTTCCACATCTTGATCTGCAGGATCTGCAGGAAGTGACCTATGTCACTGGGTGTAGCTTTAACACAGGAGACCTCAAAGCTTACCCCCACAGTGATACACTTCCTAATAGTGCCACATTTTATTTCAAACTACCACACTCTGCTACTGTGCTGAATGGAATGATAACAGTGGGTATCTTTTTTGTTTTGTTTTGTTAAGCAGTACTGACTGGGCTCTTTCTGAGTAGCCCAGACTAGTTTCAAACTTGGAGCAATCTTCCCATCTCAGCTTTCCAATTACTGGCATTACAAGCATATACTATTGATCGTAGGGGAAAAGCTTTCCTTTCTTCTTTTTTTCCCTAAGTTTTAAAAAGCTTACTGCCTAGTTTGAATGTTTTGTTTAATCACAAAAGGATACTAAATTTTGTTAGTTCTTCTGTATTAAATTACATTGTTTTGTCCCATTATTCATTTCCCTAGGTTAATATATTAATGTGGTATATTGACTTTTGTTATTCTGGTATGAAGGATTGAATATACTCACTTTTGTATGTGGAACCATCCTTGAGTTGCAGGAGCAAATGCCACATGGTCAGAGATTAAAGTCCTTCTTAGGCGTTGCTGATGGAGAGTGTTTTGCTCCAATATTGACTGGTTATGCGGATCTGTAATTTTCTTCTCTTTTAGTGTCAGGATAGTGCCACCTCATGGAATAGCATGCTCTACTTTTTATTTTTTGGAACTAGTTGGAGGGAGATTAGTGTTAGTTTCTGAGTGTTTAAATGTTAGGTAGAATTAACCAGTGAAACCATTGGGCTCTGAAGTTCCTCTTATTAGGCTTTTGATCATTGCTTGGCTCCTTTTTGTTGCAGCCCTACAGTATTTCCCTCTTGTCCCCAGTCTTGTAAACTGTGGTAGACTCTGGTTTAGAATATTAAATGGAAAATTATAGAAAGAATTCATCTCATATCATAGCCATTGTGTGACTTACGTTATCACAAGAAAAGTGAATACAGATACAAGGTGCTGAGTGATAGAATTTTTGTCTCGTGGTCTGGTTGATGTGTTTTTATCAGTGATTGTTGTTCCCTTGTTGCACATGCTTTATAAGTGTACTTTACACTAGGCAGGCATGTACAGGACAAGCATAGTGTACATCTTGCTGCTTCCTGCAGGAATTTCAGAACTAGCTTTGAACATCTTGAGAGGGAGAGGTAAGGTTCTGTATAGAAGCAGTTGGGAGATTCTGATGGAGTGTCTGGCTGAACGAGCTCCACTGGGGAGTGCAACAAAATCACCAGGGCCAGAAAAAGCTGAAACACAGTACAGGGACCAGCTCAGGTCCACTGGAACCATCAGGCAATATCTTCCCACCTTCCCTTCCCCACATTCTGGCACAGGAAAATGAAAACAGCAGTTGGAGCAAGGGCTCATACATGACTTTCTTTCACTCATCACTCTGCACATGCAAAGACCAGCTAAGGAAGGAGAACACCAAGGACCCATTTAACTGCTTACTTGGTGCAAGCCAGCCAGAAACTCACTCCAAAAGTCCTCAGAGAGGGCTGGTGGAATGGCTCAGTGGATAAAGGTACTTGACACCAAGCCTGATGACCTGAGTTTGGACCCTTGGGATCCTTTGGAGCCTGGTGGAAGAAGAGAACTGACTCCTACAAATTGTCCTCTGACCTACAAATGTGCCATAGCACACTCTATCCCCATCTACAAATAATGAAGTGTTAAAAAAGGAAAGCCCATAGCGGCTGGGCATTGGTGGCACACGCCTTTAACCCCAGCACTTGGGAGGCAGAGGCAGGTGGATCTCTGTGAGTTTGAGGCCAGCCTGGTCTACAGAACTAGTTCCAGAAGAGAGACAGGAGACAGGAATGGGATCCCCATCATAATCATAGAGGAACTCCCAATGGTGAATAGGCTTCCAGGAGCCCCATTCATTTTTCACTCTCTCCTTTAATCTCTGCCACTCAAACACCATTCACTTGTCTACATTTTTCTTTCTTTGCACTCATACACACAATAATGACTCTATTGGCAAATGCCGTACTATCAGTGACCCTTAATTCACATGGTGATTGTTATGAGTGTTTTATAGTTGGCCATTACTCTGTCTGAATACTTGTTTACCTCTGAATAGGGTTTGTTATTTCACATATGTTACTCTTGGGAGAAGACTGGAGGCAGATCCTGGCCCTGAGGTCCAGTTCAACAAAGAAATTACCCTACAGCCTTATCTGGAATATTGCAAACACAAAAAGATTAAAGATGATCTGAATAACAATGAAAATCAACTGTCAATCAATCTCCTAATGTAAAAGTGCCAACACATAGAACAAATAACATGAAAAGCCAAGACAACATGTCTCCTCAGAATTTACTAATCCCGCATTCCACTGTAATGGCCCCAGTCCAGACAAAGAATGATTATAAATATGTTCATAGAGCTGAGTATGGTGCCGTACACCTTTAATCCCAGCACTCGGGAGGCAGAGTCAGATGGATCTCTGTAAGTTTGAGGCCAGCCTGATCTGCAGGGTGAGTTCCATGATAGCCAGGGTTTTATAGCCAGACTGTCTCAAAACCAACCAACCAACCAACCAACCAACCAACAAAATGTTTAAAGAAATGAAAGTGAACACAAATAAACCTGAGTGAATTCTGAGTGAACATAGACAGTTGACTGAAATAATGTAATTCAATCAAGAGATAGAAATACTGAAGGAAAACCAAATTGAGATGGTTGAATTGAAAAATTCAGTAAATCAAATAAAAGCCTCACTTGTAGAGAGTGGCTTACAGAGAGGACAGAATAGCAGATCTTGGGGAAAAGGTAAAGGAATTGGAACATTCATCAAAGAACAAAGATAAAATAGCAAAAGCATACAAATGGAACATTTGAGATCTTAGGGACACCATGAAAAGTCCTAATGTACAAATTATATGGAGATAAATTCCATGCCAAAGGCATAGAAAACATTTTCAATACAATGAAGGAGATAGTTTCCCAAATCTAGAGAAAGAGGCTTAACCCTGTAAAAGATGTATGGATCACCAAATAGACAGGAAGGAAATTCCCTCTATTGTTAAGACACTAAATATACACTACAAAGAAAATGTATTGAAAGCTGGAAACACAAAGGTAGCCAGCCCATCAGAATTACAGTAGATTTCTCAGTAGATACCTCAACCCCAGAAAGGCTTTGGTGATCCATTTCAAGTTTTGAAAGACCACATCTGCCACCTAACACGACTGTACTTAGCAAGACTACCTACCAGAGTTGAATGAGAAAGAAAAACACTCCAAGATTTAAAAAAAAAAAAAAGCAGGTTAAGGAATTTATGACCTTGTGACATGAAGCCAGGTTTCCAGATGAGACCACACTAAATTAGTACTGAAGAGAATGATAAGCACACCCAAGAGGCTACAGGGAAGGAATTATGCTAGAACAGTAGTTAAGCTAAAGTGGATCAGAAAACACTAAACACTTCAACATGACAGGCGTTAACACAAAATTTTCATAATAGTTTTGAATATTAATGATCCGTTTCCCCATTTAGTCATATTATTAGACTAGAATAAAAAAACAAGACCCAGGTCTTTGCTTCCTCTAAGAAACACACCCATATATAGTGGTTCGAATGAGAAATGTCCACAATCTGTAAACCACACTAATCAATCACCTCTATTTGTGCATGTTTGTTTTTGTTTTTTGACACAGTTTCTCTGTATGTATCCCTGGCTGTCCTGGAATTCTCTTTGTAGACCGGGCTGGCCTTGAACTCACAGAGATCCACCTGCCTCTGCTTCCCAAGTGCTGGGATTAAAAGAGTGCACCACCACTGCTGGCTCTAGTTCTCGTTCTCTCTCTCTCTCTCCCTCTCTCTCCCCTTCCCTCTCCCTCCCTCTCTCTCTTTCCCTTCCTTCCCTCTCCCTCTTTCTCTCCCTCTCTGTCTCTCTTTAAAGATTTATTACATACAGTGTTCTGTCTGTATGTATGCCTACAGGCCAGAAGAGGGCACCAGATCTCATTGTGGATAGTTGTGAGCCATCATGTGTTTGCTAGGAATTAAACTCTGAACCTCTGGAAGAACAGCCATTGCTCTTAACTGCTGAGCCATCTCTCCAGCCCCGGATCTAGTTCTCTTAAGCACAGAGATTTTAAACTTTTAAATGCAAGGTTAGCCATTCATTCACATTAGGTTAGCCATCACATTCCCTAGCTTGAGTTAAACCCTGCAGTCACATCCTTGAGTATACGTCTTTCCACCTATTTCTGCCTCCCGAGTGCTGGGATTAAAAGCATAGCAACCACTGCCTGCCTCATATATATATATATATATATATATATATATATATATATATATATATATTTCTGTCAATTCTGTTTCTCTAGAGAACCCTAATATAAAAGTGTCAAATAAAAATATTCTGAATAATATCCAATAAAAAAAATAGCTTGAATACTTACCTAGCAGGGGAGATACCATGATCACGAAGGTGGTTTTCCCAGGCAAGACTAATCCATTGCACTCCGGATGTGCTGAAACCTGCGATTTCCCCAAATGCAGAAAACTCGACTACATAATTTGTAGTGGGGGGGGGGCAACCGTATTTGTGCTTTCCCTTGGGAAATTAAAAAATAGGAAAAAAATAGCTTGAACAGAGTTCTCAAAATAACATAAATGGCCAATAGGTATTTTTTTTAAATATTCAGTATCAAGGAAATGCAAATTAAAACCTCTTAGCTATTGTCAAGAAAACAAATGACAAGTGCTGAGGATATAAGGAAAAGGGAACCCTCATCCACTGTTGGTGTGAGTATGAATAGTGTAGCCATGATGGAAATCAGTGTGGAGTCTTTGATCTTACCAGCTGCACCTGCTCCTAGACACCTGTCCAAAAGATTGTGCCCACCACAAGGTACTTGCTCATCCATGTTTATTGCTGCTCTATTCCTAATACCAGAATGAATAATGAAAATGGGGTACATACACACAAGAGAGTTTTATTCAGATGCAAAAAGAAACTGAAATTTGTAGGAAAATGAATGTAACCGGAAAATATTAAATGAGGTCTTCTAGACTCAGAGAAAGTGACTGCTCCATGAAAACCTTTGAATCGCAGAGATGTAGGGACAGTTAAGCATATGCAAATCTGTAAGTATAACATGTCACATAAATGGAATTGTTTATAGAGCCCAAGAAGCCCATGACACAGGAAAAAGGCTGTGGGGAGTGACAGTTGGACATGTGACATGAAAATGGAAGAGGGTATAGACAGGTTTAAGCAGGGGAAGTTGTTACAGAGATAGGGAGGGTCACTCAAAACTAAGAATGTATGAAACAGCCCTAAGGAAATCTGACTCTTGGTAAGCTACATAAAATGAAAAATAAAGTATTTGAGTGGAGGCTTGAGCTACCTCCTTACAAATTGTTGGCAGAGGAAGCCAGCCCCTGAGGCAGTCACACAGCAGCTGGATAGTAGACAGTATTGCTGGAATAGTGCACTGTCAGACTGCAGGGGACAGAGAAGTGAAGATGGGAGGTTGGGACCCAGGTGGAAGCTTACTCCCCAGTTGCCAGACCTCATAGAGCCAGAAGCATGCCTGCAGGTTATTGGGAGAACTGTCATCAACAGTCTTAGCTGTGATGACTAACCTTGGTTGGCAACCTGAACACATCTAGAATCAACCAAAACCCAAGCAGCTGGATTGAACCATTTGAAGTGGGAAGACCCACCCCAAATCTGGGCATTTTCCTCTGGTGGGCAGCCCACATAAAAGGACATGGAAGAAGGAAGCTTTGCTTTTTGCCTGCTTGCTTTCTCTCTTGCTGGCAAGTTTACCTACCCTGCTGCTGAAGCATTACTTTGCTGGTATCAGAGCCTACTCCTTCAGGATTCCAACAGAGACTGACAACAGCCATCCTCTAAGATTCCAGCACTAGATTGAGACATTTGAGACATTCAGTTTCATGGATTGAACAACTAGTGGGTTCTTGGCCTTTGAAGAGACAGATACTGTTGGGCTACTTTGACCCTAATAAGAGCTGTGGACCCTTTATGCAATATACTACTGACTGTCCAGACATGATGTGCTCCCTGGTGCAGTAGTGGCAATCTATTATGAGGGTAGCCATCCATCTTCTGATTGGCATTAAGGACTATTCATGAGGGAATTCATGTCTGGTACTGTAAACCTGGTCAAAAGCCCAGGCTGGGGAAATCATAGGCCCTAGTGTGCAAGCTATAGCTGTTGTTTTGCTAAGTGGACATAATTTGCCTATCAGATTCCCTTCTAAATGACTATTTTTATGCCCATAGATTAGTGTTGCTGTCAGCTTTGATCAGAGAAGCTTAGTTTTGCAGTAGACAGTGGTAACTACAGAGGCTCATAAGTGCTCAGACATTAGTGGGACATCTACACCACTCCTTGGAGGCTGAGGGAACCATAGGGGAAGAGACTGGAAGGGTATAATAACTACAGAAAAGAAGGGGGTGGTCCAGGAAGGACAGTGCTGTCTGCTCCTGAAGACTGATCAGCTCTACTTATCCATGCACAGTGAGTACAGGACTGGCCCTGCCATCATCCTCTTATGAAGGGGGACTTAGGTGGCTGTCATCTCTTCTTCGGGATTTATAAGGTAAGTAGGAGGGAACTAACTGGGAAAAAAGAGGGGGGGGATAAGGAAGTTGGAAGAAGATGAGAGGGGAGCCAGGGCAAATATGACCAAAACACACAATAGATACATATGAAAATGTCCTTGACACCAGTTATATATGTTTAATAAGACAGGTTTTAAAAATAATAGAAAAAAGGGAGTATAATTTCCTTGAATATAGTTTTTACTGGAAATGCAAAGTAAATACCTATTTTCAAGTTCCCTCAATTGCCAATTTTTAGAATAAATTGATGCCTTAGAAATTGGCTAGGCGGTGGTGGCACACACCTTTTATCCCAGCACTGGGGAGGCGGAGGCAGGTGGATCTCTGTGAGTTTGAGGCCAGCCTGGTCTACAAAGCAAGTTCCAGTACAGCCAGGGCTACACAAAGAAACCCTGTCTCAAAGAAACAAAACAAAGCACCCCCCAAAGAAATATGCAGTGATATCCAATGAGTTTTAAGTATTTTTCTTGATATCTGTTTTATATTTTTAATATTACTCCAAGTTGATGGCTTTTTATTAATTCAAAATGACTTACTGTCATTTTGAATGAATTATTGTCAATATTTTAAATTACTCAGTCTTTGAGTTATGGTAATCCACACAGACACACATGCAGGCAAAACACCAATGCAAATAAAGTATAAATAAGTAAATTATTAAAAAGAAAGAAAGGAAGAAAGAAAAGAAAGAAAAGCACTTCTTTAGAGTCTGGGGCTCTATGTGACATGGTGGCATGTGTTTCCTCTGAGAAGGGTGACGGAATGGAGTAATCATGAGGTTGAAAATCAGAAAGCATCACCTGTGTGCTTCCTGAAGGATTTCAGATCTGGTTTAATGCTTCTGGAGACCTCAAGGTCTTAGCCAGGCATGTGTCACATACCTGTAGTTCCAGTTACTCAGGAACCTAAGACAGGGGAATCCCTTGGGACCAGGAGTTCAAGACTGGCTTGGGCAACATGGTAAGACCCTGACTCTTAACAAAAGCATCCTCCAAGTGAGAAAGGAATAAATAGTTTTGTGCTTTTTAAAAGCCATTAGCGCTTTCTAACCATAAAAAACATCTAAGATTTAAGAAGTAGAAGCCAGGCTGTTAGTATGTGTTGATGAGCAGCAGCCCTTCTAGGGCTTGGCACAATGTGTGGGAAAGTGATGCAGACCCACCAAGCTCAACAGGGTGGGTCCTGGCAGAATGCTTTCTATACCATGCAATGGCATAGCACATTAGGAGACCAAAAGAAATGTAACATTGATAAAGCATGTCCATGATTGCTGAAGCCTCTGCTGCTTACTTCTTCCAGACCTCAGCCGGAAATTTAATTTCACTTTATAAGATAATAACTGGGGCTGGACAGAGGCTTGAGGTGATTAGGGCTCTGCCCTGGTGAACAGATTAACCTATTTGTTTAATTGTTGATGGCTATCTAAGAGTGGATCTGCTATACAGGCCAGTTGCCCAGGTCTCTTTTACTCCGTGTGTCTAGCATATAATGCCCCGGATCACTTGCAGCCCCACCAAGACCACCCTTGGGTGCAACATCTTGACCTTAGACCAGAATCATAAGCCCACATCAGTCTATTTCCTCTCGACCTCCTCGCTATGTGGTATTATTGCTAACAGTAGAAACAGATGGAGACAGCCTCTTTCTGTACAGAAAGCTCACACCGACCTGGGTTCCCAGCAAGTCCACCTGAGTACAATTGCTGGTCTGGTCTCTGTGGTTGAAACTCTTCTCTTCTGCTCTGGGAGTCTCTCTGCCATTTTGCTTGCCTGACTCTGGTCATTTTTGTCATTTTCTGCTTGTTGCAGCTTCAGTTTACTTTCCATCCCACAAGGCATGATTTTCTGTCACTGATATTTCTCTGCATCGACTGCCTTTGCTGTGGTTTTGTAAAAGTCATTTATGGTGGTTCTTTTTCTTTGTGGTCTGTTCCCAATTCATCACACACCATCTTTAACTTTTTTTGGGGGGGGTCATGGCTTATAGTTCCTCACATTTGTGCCAGTAAATGCACTCATGTGACTCAGATGAAGGCGACTTTCCCAGGCCTCTCACAGCAGAAATATAGTTGCAGCATAGGCCTATGGTTGGCTTTGAGAAGGCCCCATCCCTGTGTGGCTCAGTGGCAGAGGACCTGCTATACATAGAACCCTGGGTTCAGTTATCAGCCCTGCATGGTGCTGCATGCCTGTAATCCCAGCGTCGGCAGGAGGTACAGAAGTTCAGGGTCAACCTTGGCTAAATGTTGAACCTGGGATACATAGAAGGAGCCTGTCTCAAATGCTGTCATAAAGAGCAGGGAATGCTGATGATTCGGGGAACCTTTTAGGAGGGGAATGTTTATGGAGGTGGGACACATAGGAGGATCCTATCTCAGAAAAACATCTCCACCCCTCCAAAGCAGATCTCCAAGCCATCAGCATGTCCCACTCTTGATGACAGCATTTGGTCAGGTTCTAAGGCCTGTGGGCTAGGGAAGCAGACAGAGCACTGAGGTCTGCACTGGGTGAGGGTAGAGAAAGCCCTCAACCCATTCCCACTGTTTTGTTTACATATAAAGGCAGGACTCTTTATCGCTTGAAGTTGGTGGTGCCTGGACCGTGTGCACATACTCTAGTTGAGCTGGCTTCAGCAGGGAAAATGGCTCACTCAGGTGCTGACCAAGCAGCCTCTAGCTCAGTTTCTGGGGAGAAAAGCCCCGGGGAGCAGCCAGGCCTGGCCAGAAGCCACAGGGTAGCCTAAGGTGAGGACAGACCAAAGTCTCACAGACATTTGGAGCCTGGAAACTCTGCTTCTGATATAGTGGGTTAATTCATGGCTGGCTGAAGAATGGGTTCACTTTCTCTGGTAATTAAAGAATTAAAAGGCGGGAAAGGTTTGAAAGTCAAGCAGAGCTAGAGTTTGTTAAAAGGAGGTTTGAAAGTCAAGCAGAGCCAGAGTTTGTTCAAAGAGGACGTTTTTCCT